GCAGGGTGGGAACAAGAACCATCATCAAAGCCAGTTTTCCTCTGGGCACTCACAACAGAAATTACAATATACAAAATAATCACATGTGTGGATGGAAAATAAAATAGTCTTTATGGTCTCCTTATAAGCAACTTCAATTTACTACAAGAAAGGTGGATTTGGGAAATAACCAGCTAAGTATTTTAACATCCAAAATTTCACCGATCATGAATATAATACACGAAAGAAAGCCACGTGATCACCTTACTAACAGCAATCAGTAGAAACTGATCTTACTCTCTAAAGCACCTCTATTTCCCTGTCCAAATTGCAATGTAACTTCCTAGATTTTTTAAATGTATCTGTCCACCAAAACATTTTGCAGCCCATTGACTTTCCACTAGTATTCGTCACAACAAAGACTGATCAAAAGGACATTCATTCTAAATCAAGTAAACACTGTTTTGTTTTGTTTTTAACATTTCTCTTCTCCCTGCCATTACCTGATATATTATTCTTATCTCAGTCACTTTTGGGGCCAAGTCTATGGCCTATGTTAATGCTAATTTTCATCCCCTCTAAGGAATTAAGAAAAAAACTACCATCTTATAGTCATTTAGTCAATGTTCTTTAAGACAGAGATTAACCCAATGCACTGTAATAAGTAACATGAAATTCAAGTAGAAACCAAACCACAATAGAGAAATAGATACTCTCATACAGCTCTAGTGGAAGATAATAAATGATAGGCATAGAAAGCCTTACCACTGCGTAAGGCTCTTATTTATTAATTTCTAGGAATGTACACAAAGATGGAAGGAGAAAGATGTTCATGGCGAAGTGGTTTATAATTATGAAAACAATCAAGAGACTATTTCACTGTATAAATGTAAATATAATAAAATACTAATAATTTCTTAAAAATCAGGTTGTAGAACAATATTTCATGGCATAAAATGTGTTTACAATATATAGTTAAGAGAGAAAAGCAATGTGATTGATATTACATACCGTATGTGCTTTCAAAAGTATACATTCACTACAACCACTACCTTATGTTCAAACAAGCAGTGTTTGCATATAGAACTTTTTGGAAAACATTTCTAATAGGGTAGGTTGGTATAAAATTTAAAATCAACACAAATGCTCTAACCATGCAAGGCACTATGCTATGGTCTGGGTGGGGCACAAAGGGAAGGACATGTGGCCCCTACTTCCTGGAACTCACACTGCAGGAGCGGAAATCCCTTCTGACACAGATACCTAAGAGAGTTACCAATAACTGAATTAATATGCTATAGCACCAAAGAGCTTTAAATTGCTGGAGCTGGTTAAAAATGCATTAGCTCTTCCCCCAACAAGATTCTGAGAGCACAGTAAAATCAAAAAGGCTGCTCTGGCTGCCCGGCGAACTTGAAGTAATGAGGTCTGTGAGTTGACTCGAACAGAAGAAAATGATATTAAGCTTTCATGGAGGACAAATGAAAGTATCTACCTATAACCTCTCTGACAGCCAGAGATCCTTTGCCATTTAAAACTCTGTGGCTATGGTGCATTATTTCCAGGCAGCCAAGAGTTTAATAAGACTTCGCGGAGACACCTAACCTTCCAGTCGCTGGCTGCCTGCTGGCAACCCTAAGGCGCTCGCTGTGGAAGCTGACAATCTGAGCTAACATCAGGGCACGTCTGCCTGCTGCCCCCACCCTCCTTCTCCAATCATGCACATTGCAGAATAGTCTTGATTCCAAGCCAATCGCGCACCCAGCACCCTTGGGTGTTTAAACCAGCAGATTCTGGTGATCACTGTTCTCATGACTGCATGACTTGGATTCCCTACTGAATGAGGTGCTGCCCCTTTAGGATGATATAGGAGGATTTCTTTGAGCAGAGCCCAACCTGCTTGGCGCAGCCTTAATCCCCATCCCCTGCCCTCTCCACCCCCTGCATTCTGGTACTGGGATTAGGGGCTGGATGTTTGTGTTCCTGCTTTTCTCACCTTCATGCTTTATTCAGCCTGTGGCTTTCACCCTTTCCAGCAAGCCCACTGTTCTCCCTCCCAATTCTGGCATTGCTTCAGAGGTATCTCTCTTACTAGACTGTAAAAATAGTAATGACAGTTACATAATGTGCCGGGCATTTTGCTAGGTGCTTTGCATGTCGGAACTCATTTTATTCTGCTCAACAACTCTAGGACATTAGTATTATTAAGATGATTATTACCATGATCATCACCATCATCCTAATTTTTCAGATAAGGAAAGTGAGACACGGAGAGGCTAAAGCAACTTGACCAAAGTATCACTTCCATGGGGTTGAAGGCATCAAGAGTGGGTTCACCCCTAAAGAAGTACTTAGAAGTCTTTAATTGTGGTATGCTACAGACTTTTGCAAGTACATAGTGCATTTCCTTCTTCACCTCACTGGTGGCAATAACAGACTAACCTATCAAAAGTGCACAGGCAGCCTCCAATAAAGATAGAGCTAAGCCTCCTACCAATGAAAATCCCTGCATAAATTCAACTTCCAGCATGGGCAAATGGACCAAACTTCCTGGAATATAGGGCAACAGAGCTGGATCTGATACTCAACTCTCCAGAGTTTACAGATCTCAGGACACAGCTTCTAATGGACCCAGACCTTCCCTAAGTTCATGGAGAATGTAGACAGACAGGCTTAATCCAACTCATTCCAAAGAATATCAGTCAGCCACTCCTCAAACCCAAATGCCTGGGCACAAGGCCCTGACATATTGCCTTATACCTCACATATCAAACTTGATATAATAAGTGTACTTAGAATTTAACCTCCCTTGGTAGGCAGATGCAATTTCCTTATGATGTTCTCCTTGAGCCTAGCAAGAGGTTCTAGCTATAAATTTTAAGGTATTGCCTACTACCAGGCCTGACCTACACGTCAGCTAATCACACACAGTCTTTGGTCTCAGTCCCCCAAAAGCAGGTGTGTTACTTCAGGTTCTGTCCAAAGGAGCATGTTAGTTCAATGAGCATAGAAGAGGCATGGCAGGGGTGGTCAGAAAAGAAATGCTCCAAGCCAACAATAATCATGGTCATAACTTGCATAGTTTTCCACATGTTCTCTGCTTTCGGGATGAAAAAACAAAAACCTCAGCTCAGAGAAGTTGAGTAACTTGCCTCAAGTCTCCCAGCCAGTAGATGGCAGCACCAGGATCTGAAGGCAGGCATTCTGTTTCCAGAGCCCCACTGCTATGCCATCTCAGTAAACAGCCTGCCTTGGAACACTGGACATTTACCAGCAGGGAGCATGTGCCAGCCAGGCAGGATTCTCAGCCCTGACTCTCCCTTCATCCCTTTTCCTGGGGACATTCTATCTGGAAATTTGAAAGCCTTTATTCTCACATGGATAGAGGTTCCTCCAGCCTCTTCTTAGAAGGAGTCTGCGGTTTTCACTGAAGACAGAACCAACCCAAATAATTGTTCTTAGAACTATTTTGAGCTGCTCAAGTACACAACGTCTTTAGTGAAAATTCCAGACTTCTAACACTCAGAACGTGGCAAAAATAAATTCAATCTGAATATTTCAGTATCTGATCTGTGAAATCTGACTCTAATGACCATTGACTGTTCCACCAGCAGGAATTAGTTGCAAGTGACCTAATTGATCTTCTAGATGGGGGGTTTATATAAAACACTTGAATTGCTGATAAAGTCCTTCAGATACAATTGTAGTCATTTTTATAGTTGATTCTAAGCAGTAACAAAAAATGGGACTAATTACTTTGAGACATCTTATAGGCTGTGAATATAAAATCATACTGCCAAGAAAAGAAGGAAAAGTTTTTCTAAAATGCTGTGGAGTAAATTCAGCTGGAAGAAAGAAAGGAAGCCTTAATCTTCACTGTTTTATACCACATAGAATTTAAATATGACATGTTGAGAGATTATTCTAGTCACTCTGTTCTCAGAGTGTTATCGGGATGCAGGATTTGTCAAAGCACAAGTAGCATAGAATCTCTGCTGAAGTCACATAGTTTGGCCCAAACTTGGTATTTGTCCAACATTTCTAATCTGCATGTATTGTGAATAGTAAAAACCTGGAATCATCCTTGACTCCCCCCGTCTCATCCTTATATTCAGTCCCTAAATCCTAATAATTCATTGGTATGAATTTAGCCTGAATCTATCCAATTCTCTCCATCATAGCACCACTATACTTCACATTTGAATAACATCCACATTTGAATAAAGGGTTTAAATAACCATTGTAAAGCATGTATTTGTGCAGTAGGTTCTCAGAATCTCACAACTGAATACCCAAAGTAGTCTTCTAACTGGTCTGCTGACTCCAAGGTTACTCCTTCTCACTCTGTTCTCCACCCTGCCGCTCATGAGATCTTTCTGAAGTAGAAAAGGGATTCCACTGTTTAAGCTCTTCCCTTGGTCCCTACAGTTATACGCTCCTCCACCTGTCTACACAGCCCTCATCTGTTATAGCTTACTTTCTTGCTATCACATGTCACTCCAGCTAATTCAACTAACAGCAGGTCCCAGATGCTCTCTTGCTTTTCTTTGGAATGTCCTTTTCCCTACCCTTATCCTCAGAAAGAGAGGCAGGCATAGAGAAGGGGAGCTGAGGCTGGAACTAGAGGTGGATGTGGCCAGACACACACTGTGATGCGTACAAAACTCGGTCTAGACTAACGCCCACTAAGGCAATCCCTTAGGATGGGTTTCAGGGGAGATGTTGAGAGTGGTATTGCAGGATGTGCTTTGCACTTTTCTATATGGTTTAGATTTGTTTTATAGTGAATATGTTTAACTCATCGTCTAGATTTTTAACTACATTTGACCATCCCCATTTCCAGATTTACTGATTCAGTGGAAAAGGGTCCTGAATTCTGATCTTCCAAAGATCCCCAACAGAGATTAGCCAAATTTGAGCACTGTGGTTGAAATAATTATTTCCAATATAATAAGGCAATTTAACATTTTTGCTTTTTAAGAAAAGCTCCAACTCTATTATATAGCCATTTTTACATTTTCTTTTATTTTGTAATAGCTTAATTCTACTACAAATACACATTCTCTCAACATATTAGATTTGAATTATCTGTAAGAAACATAATAGATTTGTCAGCCACCTTAACATCCATATTTGAATAAAGGGCTTAAATAACCATTGTAAAGCATGTATTTGTGCAGTACGTTTCACAACCCATTTTAAACTTAGGGCAAACAAGAAAAACAAACTACAAACATTAGGGTTTCTTAAATTCTTAAATTGTAACACTAACTTAAATATCATTTGATTGGACCTCAAAACAATGTGTATCCTCAAAATATAAAGTAGGAAGTTATTACAAATATCAACTTTGGTATAATACATACCTATTTCACTAAACATTTTAAGTTTTTGACTTTGTTTTTATAATTACCTTTTGAAAATATTTATAATGCCCTATAATTCAGATATCAAAGCATCGATTTCATTAAACTTGTTAGTTATATTTTCAATACATTCCCCAGCTTTTAATTTTATCCCGTCAATTATAACATAGTCATCTTCACAGTGGTTTTCAAATGGACTGCTTGCAGAAGCGTCAGGGCCCCACTGAGGCAACTGTAAAAATAACCACACAATTCATCAGTACTACTCAACTGTATCTGAAGACTAGGTTCAGTTATTTGAACAAAACATAAAGTAATTGGTAAGTCTTGAACCACAGCAGTTACACAAAGTTTTCTGTTATGGTGGTGGTCAAAAAATGATCCCTATGTATAGTATAATGTATGGTAAATGTTACTATAAAACTTAGGTCTTGTCTGTTCCCCAACACTACACTTTTAGTTTTAATTTTATATTTTGAAAAAACTGGATCATTTTAATTCTGTGAGTTTTCTATATTTGTTTACTTTTAAAACTATTATTATAGGGAATACAACTTAAAGCTATTTTAGTCACATTTTCTGTGGTCATCTTCTTACAAGCATCTGCATTCCTCACAAACAGTGATAGTTTTCTTAAGCTTGTTTAGACAGGACACTGGTAAAAACAATGCAAACATACCCATACATGGGAGATTTATAACTTCAAGGTTCATTCGAGTTAACTTCCCAGGAAATTCAAGGAAAAAATATAAATAAGTATTTTCATATATCAAAAGTATACTATAATATAAATAATTATTAAGTAAATGGTTTTCTTTGTAAATGGATTATCTAATTTGTAAATTACTCGGATTTTATAAAAATCTGAAATGAATCCCCTCCCATTGCTTGCCAAGTCAGGACATGTCGACCGACCTGTGTTAATATTAGCTAAAGAAGAAAATAATCAGAAAGGTGACTCAACTGAGGAAAATAATCTAAGTATTTCAATGACAAATAGAAATAAATTCTGATTTTCCATATGTATGCTGTTTTCATGTTGCTACTCTCATCCATTAGTATAGATGCTTGCGAGAAATCAACTTGAAAACTCATATGTGAAGTGAATGATGAAAAACATCATCAAATTTACAACTTTGAAAATAGCTCAGACAATATTTGCTCAGAGTATGAACATGATCAGAACTTTAAAATTATCAGGTGGTTCTTTTTGGTGGATTAGCTTATAAGAGGCCACTTTTTCCAAAAAACAAAATGCAGCTCCCATTTTATGTGGGAAAGGAAGGAAGGGAGGGAGGGAGGGAGGGAAAGAGGAAGAAAAGAAACCCCTGAGGTGATCACTTCTTTGCGTTTAAAGTGGAAATCACTCCAGCTTTGATCATTGGTTTCATTGCTATTCTCCTTGCTTAAAAGTGAACAAGGCCCTAAATATCCTGAGCCTGGTGTGAATGCCAGACGTACAAAGCTCAGTGTGGAGAGTGGCTTATAAACCAGTCGGCAGGAGGCCTTCCCCTGCCTGCCAGCGAGTTAAAATGGTTAATCTTTACAATTCCTAAATGCCTTTTGAAAGCATATAATATTACAAGAATCTAAAACAAAAAGCAAGCTCTTGCCTGGTGATGTATTAAAACTATGTATTTTACCTGAAGAAATAAAAATCAGAAGTAATTTTCTGTTTTATCAAGTTACTAGTTATAATGGCAAAACAGAAGCCAATTCAGTGACTGTAAAAGCTCCAGGACATCTCTATAAAAATCAACCTGGCTGTTTTTTGAAAAGACAAACTGCAAAGACTGAAAACACATTGTACAGAACCATATGGTGCTTAAACAAAACACACATTTGCTAGAAAAGAAAAATGTACAGTAATCTATAATAAAAGGGTAACATGCTAATTAGACCAGACGTCCTTCCTGACAAAGCCGGGCCAGAGGGAAGCCAGCCCGGGTCCTGGGTGCCTGCGGGCAGCCCAAGGGAAGCCAGTCTGGGTCCTGGGTGCTGGAGGGAAGCCGGTGCCGGCAGCCGGGGGAAGGAAGGCCTACTCTTGCACAAATTTTCGTGCATCGAGCCTCTAGTTAAATATAAGATACATCACCAATCTATAGATCTTGTTCTATAAAAGGTGAGATACAGAAAACAAGTTTTTTGAAAAAAGGGACTCTAAATGGAAAAATAGCATTTTCAACTAATTAAGAAAACCATCATGTTTTTCAACTCAGTAAGAGTTTTTAACATTAATTTTACATATTTTTTAACACACTGATCTCCTTAATTGTAAATTCTGTACATTCTCTTGATTTCTAAATCAATAAAGGAGGTGTTTAAGAATCTTCTTTGTTGTTGTTGAAGTTATGAATAAAATCATGCAATTGGGCAGTCTTCCAAAGTGTGTATACAATATTTTCATTTTAGGGGGATGAGTAGTTAATCAAAGTGAGAATGTGGGGAAAGAGATAAAGTAAAGATATCTTTTCACTCATTCTCTCTAGTGACCGCCATTGCCATTTCTCACCTATAGTAACAACTAACCTTAGATGTCACTACGTGGAGCACTTTTCCCAGTTTGTCTTATTTAACCCTCCAAACAATCCTCTGAGGCAAGTGATGAGCATCTTTGCCAAATTACACAAGTCGTCAATAGCAAGACCAGGCCTGGGACGCAGGCATTATATTCTAGAGTCAGTGCTCCTAACCTCTGTGCTCTGGACTCCAGACCCACTACCTATCTAAATGATTGAATGACAGAATGAATAACGCCATAAGGATACCCGACTCCTCGCTGCCATTCTCCTTCCTAACCACTCAGGGAACAGCTATGCTGCCTGTGGAAGGGGCTGCCTTATGACTTATTTTTTTCACACCTACCACATCGCTGCTCTGTATTAATGACCTGGGAGTTAAGTAAGACAAACCAGGAAAAGATACATGGAGCTCATGTGCTGAGCAGTTTATCAACCAATTTAAATTTCTGTTGTCATATATAAGTATTAAATAAAGTTAAGGACACATGGCCTTTCTCAGCCCAACATGTTGGCCAAAAGGAAAAAAAGGACAAGTCTAGATATGAATGGTGAAACGTATTTCAATAAAAGATTCTACCCTCGTATTTTAATAATGGAGCCTGTCCCTATAGAAGCTATCCCTCTGCATGAAATAGAGAGGGCAGATTTCCCCAGCTGCTCTAACCCCAGCGCCCCTCCTGACTGTGGAGATGGGCAGTGCGGAGGAGGCCTCTTTAGTAGCATTCCATTCACTACATCAAGCCCCTTCCATCTCTCTTCTATTTCAACCTCAAAGATCTGAAACAAAAAGAGCACCTCTGCTGAAACTCAGGTATTTTTTCAAAGACTGACAGGTCTATTCTGATTTCTCAACAGGCTACTAGTTTACCATTCAGCTCATGATAATCAAGGGCTCAAATCTGAGAAGTGAGAAAGGTTTTCCATATACTTAAAATGTCCACCCAGGAACAATCTCTGCCATGTAAAGACTCTGAAGTTGTTACTTATAACTATTAATATTACCTCTTCTCCTGTATTTATTTCCTCCCCACGTTCCTCTTCGGGATCATCCGGTGTTGCTGTGGGTTCTAGAGCTTGCTGTAGCATTTGCTCCAGTTCTTTTAGTAAAACTTCTGTCTCAGAGACAACTAAAGAAACATAATTAATATAGTAAAAAATGCTACATCTTAATTCAATCTAATTACTAATCGTAGCCACCACAAAAGAGGAAATCTTCCAAATGTTACAAGATAAGAAATAATATTTTTTATAAATTTCACATATGCCCTCTACTTGATACAAAATTATTATAGATTTCAAGGTGAATATTTTGCAATTATTCCTTGAAAAAAGTAGATGACATTTTTGCTATGTGTTAAGTACCCCAAAACAACAAAAGCTCACTAAAATGTTGTGTGCTTTTTTTGAATCAGGAGCCAAGGACACTAACCTAAATTATGTTATTAATAGACCAGGGGTCAGCAAACTTTTCCTGTGAAAGGCCAGAGAGTATATTTCAGACTTTGTGGGCCAGATGGTCTCTGTCACAACTACTCAATTCTGCTGCAGTAGTGCAAACCATAGACATGTACACAAACAAATGAGAGGGGCTATGTTCCAATAAAATTTCATTTACGAAAACAGGCAGCCAACGGTAGGACTGAGGGCCACAGTTTACCAATCTCTGCAATAAACTATTAAAATTACTCTTTAAAAGGGAGCCATATGATTAAGTGGCTAGGCTAGACACAGGCTAGTCTATTCCTAATCCCAATATCAACACATCTTAATTGCCTAATCTGATATTTTTTAAAAACACACTTAAAAGTTTTGTGTGTGTATGCTACTGTGACAGGAATATATTAAGTTGGCAAAAAAAAAAAAAATCTGATAATTCACTGAACTTGCTGAGATAAAACAATACCCCCCAAAGAAATAAACACCTATTATAACTCTATAGACTCAACTACTGATTAACAATATGCAACTGAATTTCTGATTTAAGTTAAAAAAAGCATTTTCATTTGCTATGGAGTCTTGTTGAGGTAATGATCAAGGAAAGGAGGCCATGTGGAGCCTGCTGTCCTGCACAAGAGACAGATGGAGCACCTGAGAAGTCCTTCCAAAGGCAACATGATTCAAAGAGAAAGGCCATGAATACACATCCCATCCCCTTCCACTCTGGTTACAAAAATCTGACATACCACCTCCTATTATCCACTGTTCCTTGGCAGACCACCACAAATCACACTAATAGAACAGCTGAAAGTTTATGGAACATAAAAATAGACCCAGCAAGATACACACTTTAGAGCGCAAATATTATCATTGAATACAGAAGCAAGGTGTTCCTAGCAACAGCATTAATTTTTACTGTAACTGTTGAATGCATTAAAATTTTTTTTATTAATACTGTTTAGGAAAAGTGAGATATATATATCCATATGAGATTATAGCCACACATGCGCGCGCGCACAAACGTACTTGTAAAATGAGCATGCTGTAAGATAAAAAACAAAAATTATGTGAAAAGTTTGATGCATTGTTTCCTTTTCTCGATTTCAAAAGAAGCCATACTTTATTGCCATCTTTGTTGATAATTTTCTCTTACCTATTATTTGTAAGAAAGAAATTTTAAAATTCTGCTAAAACACTGTTTATTAAATAATGGTGTTAAATAAGATTATGGAAGATTATTAAATAGAAAGTTTTCCTTCCCTGGTTGTTCCTATAGTACTGAAAAAACAATTTTTAGTTTACATTTTTGACATTCCAATTTTTAATTATTTTATTTTTTAGAGAGGAGGAACAGGGGAGGGAGGGAGGGAGAGAGAGAGAGAGAGAGAGAGAGAGAGAGAGATGAAAGAAAATATCGATCAGCTGCCTTCTGCATGCCCCCTTACCAGGGATTGAGCCCACAACACGGGCATATACCCTGACTGGGAATCAAACAGGCTACCTTTCATTGCATGGGATGACGCTTAACCAACTGAGCTACACCGGCCAAGGCACATTATAATTCTGTCTACAAAAGAAATTTTTCTATCAACATTTACTGCTTTCCCCAATTTCCTTTATATTAAATCAACAAATATTTATTTTGTGCCTACTAAGGGCCAGGGACTCAAGAGAACAGGTCTAGACCAATAAGACTTCCTGGCCCTCATGTCTTCACAGCCAATCTTAGGTTTTCTCAAAACAGCTTGAAAACAGCATTCTGATAAGCCATTCCACACTTTAGGACCAGTTCCTATGTTCAAAAATAAAACAAGCAAAAACTTTAATTGATATGTTAGTTTCATCCACATAGATCTGTGTTCTAGGGTAACTGCTAAAGCCTAAGAACATGAAGTCTGAACTATTACATTCTAGAACGATGGTATCCAAATTTTGATGGGCATAAGAATCACCTGGAAAGTTTATCTAAAAATATGAAAGCAACCCTATGTCCAAAATTTTCTAGAGGAATGTACATTTTTGCTGAAGCAATTTTGTTAATGAAATTGACCTCTGCCGAAACCGGTTTGGCTCAGTGGATAGAGCGTCGGCCTGCGGACTGAAGGGTCCCGGGTTCGATTCCGGTCAAGGGCATGTATCTGGGTTGCGGGCACATCCCCATTGGGAGATGTGCAGGAGGCAGCTGATCGATGTTTCTCTCTCATCGATGTTTCTAGCTCTCTATCTCTGTCCCTTCCTCTCTGTAAAAAAATCAATAAAATATATTTTTTTAAAAAAAGAAAGAAATTGACCTCTATATATGACAAACTTTTCACTTAGTAACCTGTTACTTAACAGACCACTATTTGTGGTTACTTTACACTGATTCTTCAGTCCTACTTACAGGTGTTGTGTTTTCCTGCTTTACATTCTGAATCTAAGGCTATTGACACTGACATTTAATGCATGGTTGAGAAGATGGATTTTGAGCTATGCTGTAAAGGAAAAATGGCACAAAAACATCTTTATATTTCTAAAGCTATGCTAAAATACAATCAATTTATGATAATGAACGTCAGTGCTGAATGGCATTGGAGGCTCTCTGTTTTCAAGTGATCTGGAAAAATACGTACACTGCTTTTTGAACAAGGGTAGATAAAGTAATGGATGACTTCATAAATCAACCAGGGTTCATAATACCAACTTGATGGATGTCAAATCCTGTTTCCAGAGCCATGGGAGCTTTGCTTTTCTAAATAGGTATTCCTATTTTGTGAACTGATAGAGTTCAAAAATAATTCTCAAGAAAGAGCAGTTACTGTAATCTACAAACTAGGTTATCAAAATTGGTCAATGATAGTTTCCAAAGATAGAGACAGAATGAATGCCTTTGCTGATTGCAGACCAATCATCTTCTATCAATACTGATTATCCTGTAGTTTCCCTGACTTCTTTGAATTTGTTGTTCAGAGTAAAGTGATAGCATTACAGCTGCTCCATCACTCAGAGAAAGTGAAAAAGAAATCTCATGCTGAAGTCCACATCTGGCTTTTAAAAATGAAGTTTTGTAAAATAAATCAAATTGTTTTTCCATTCTCAATGAGAAATGCTGTTTGTCTCAATATATCAGTCATTATTTTAAAAGCTTTCAAATGTATATTTATGGAGTTTTCTTTCAACTCTACTTCTCTATTAAATGTTTAAAGAAGCTGTTTCCATCCTATATAAAGAGGCTACTGGTTGGGTCACCCCAAAGCTGGCACTAAAAAATATCATCCTATTAATAAAAGCCTAATATGCTAAGTGTCCAGTCATCTGGTCGGCCGTTCAACGAATCAAAGTGTAATATGTTAATGATAAGCTAAGGCCGCTCAACCACTCACTATGACGTGCACTGACCACCAGGGGGCAGACACTCTGACTGGTAGGTTAGCTTGCTGCTGGCATCTGGCCGATTGGGACTGAGCAAGATGGGCTGGACACACCCTGGAGCCCTCCTGCGGTCTCTCCCCAGCTGGCCACCTCCCGCATCCCTCCCCAGCCCAAATCATGCACCAGTGATGCCCCTCAGCCTGGCCTATGCCCTCTCACAATCTGGGACCGCTTGGGGGATGTCAGAGAGCCTGTTTTGGCCCAAGGCAAAACGACCAGTCACTATGACGCACACTGACCACCAGGGGGCAGACTCTCAATGCAGGAGCTTTCCCCTGGTGGTCAGTGCATTCCCACTGAGGGAGTGCTGCTCAGGCAGAAGCCAGGCTCATGACTGGCAAGTGCAGCAGCGGTGGTGGGAGCCTCCCCCACTTCCGTGGGGAGCGGGCCTAAGCCAGCAGTCAGACATCCCTTGAGGGCTCCCAAACTGTGAGAGGGTGCAGGCCTGGCTGAGGGAACCCCCCTGAGTGCACGAATTTCGTGCAACTGGGCCTCTAGTGTTAAATAAATTTGCAGGGACATTTCAATAAGGACATTTAGAAGGCATTCTTACAGAAAACTTGATGTTGTTTTGATTTTGAGTAACCACAAACACTCCTCTGTCTGCTTACAATGAATATAGAGATGAGTAAAATACAGGGTGGAATGTAATGGAGAAGACAGCATCATTCCTGGAGACACAAACAGAAATTGGAAGCACAAGGCTTTGTACAAGGGGCATGAAGACCAATCATATCTTACCAAGAGGTAAGATTTGTCTTGAGTAGTAAGATATCACCTCTCTCCTTGTCACCCCTTCAAGCTCCAAGTTCTTCATGCTCTTGCTTGGACTCACCCCATGATGCAGACCTTTCCTATATTAACATCCCCTTCCATGCTTACATGTCCCAAGTCAATTATGAATATACCATTTGCTCATTTAACAATGAATGCTAATAGATTATTAGTTTGCCCTGGGTAATTATTAATATGTCAATATCTTATTTAATCAAACTTTTATAGACTGTCTATTCACCCAAAAGAAATGAGCTATTTACCAACAGAAAATAATGATACAATTTGAAAAATGATAAAAACTCAAAGATTAAAAGAAATAAAAATCAATTCATTAAAGGGGATACTAATGGCAATAATTACATTTTAAAATGGTTAGACCAGTAGTTGTACCAGTGGTGTACATTTTAAAAAATAGCTTTAAGGCTCCTGGTACTTAAAGCAACCAAAGAAATAGCTGCACACTTTGATTAATTTTAAGAAAAATGTGACCCTAGAAAAGTCATGTAACCTCTTAAGTGCCTCAGTTTTCTCATCAATAAGATGGGAGATATAATATCTACTTTATCAACCTCATACAGATCTCATAAGGGTCAAACTAATACATAAAATACTTAGAAGAGTGAGGGTATATAGAAATTGTTATAAGTATTGGTTTTCATTGCTATTATTATTGCTATTTATATTTCATCATCATAGATACATTTTCTTATCCCTAAACACTGGGGAAAATCAATTATAGGGATAATACAAATATAGGGTGGGGAAAAAATAGGTTTATAGTTGCTCATATGGAAAATAATACAATAATTAATAAATAATAATACAAGAATAAACTCTTTTCACATACTCACAACTGCAAACCTACTTTTGCCCCACCCTGTATAATACATGATATTCCTGGTATCAATTTTCCAAAAAATACAGACATGTTCCACAAACAGTTATATCTTAGATTAAATCTTTACATAGTGGTGGGTATACAGTTTAAATTATTTAATGATTCCTCAGCTTTTTCTTGACTATTCTGTCCTTTTGCCTCACAAGAATTAATTTATTGCCAGAAACAGTCCTTTCCATGTTGGATAAGCCAGATTTCACTGCATCTCTTGATTACAGATGAAGAAACTGATAGGTGGAGAGTAGCTGCACTTAATTAGTTCTCCTCCTGATCTCTAAGGTGTGTGTGAGGGTGACAATTGGTAGAGAATCTATATATATAAAAAGCCAGCGACCAGAACGCTGTAAGGACTAGAACAACCCATCACTATGACACCCACTGCAGCTAGCGAACCCGCCCGATGGGGGGGTGGGGATGCAGGCCAATCTCACGTGGCCCCTCCCCCCAGCCAGCCTGGCCCTATCGGGCCCGATCAGGGTGGGCCTGCCAGCCAACCTCCCACCATCTCCTCCTCCCCCCGACAGGCCCGGCCCCGATCCGCCCCAATTGGGGATGGGCCGGCCAGACCCCACCCATGCACGAATTCGTGCACTGGGCCTCTAGTAACTTCATAAAAGAATAGCAAATCTGGAGTAGTAGACTAATAGGAAAGATGGTCCAAAAAGTAGGACTTGCAGAGATTCCAGAAGAAGATGGTATAATTTTCCTGTATTACTTGATCTAGGGTTGATTCTGCCTTAAGAATACATGTGAGATATTGGAGGCTTGCATTTAGGGATCCATAGAAATATAGGTAGCAGGTAAAATATCTGAAGAGGGTTAAACTACTATTAAATAATTACTCTCTCAATATGTAGACAGCTCTTGCAAAGAAAACTGTAGGCTAGATGTTTCTGCTCTTCAGATGTTCAAATGAGATGGAGGAGTAAAACACAGATTAGGCTATTTTAACAATTAACCATTGAGACTTTTAAAGCCACACAGAATGTGAGACTCCTGAAAAGGCTTCCCTTCCCATGGATAACTCCTGAGATGAATTCCCTTGCTTACACGGAAGAGTCACTTCCTGTCAATGAGCTCCTGGCTGCACTGGGTTTCTTGTGCAGTACCCCTTGCAAGTTCGAGGGTAGAAGGATCCCAGCGATGGAGCCCTCAGCTGTGGTGCCAGGTCTTCCTAGTGGAAACTCAGTCAGGGATAAGCTACAGGAATATTTGAACTGATCTTGTGAGGCAAAGGGACAAAATAGCCAAAAAGGGCATCTTAATTAAAAGGAAAGAAGCAGCCAAATAAGGATAGAAACAATAGAATTTTGTAGTAGTTTAGGAGAAGAATAAAGGATTAAAAGTAACAATAACTATCCCAACCTTTCTCTGCCTGTTTTTCTTTCTTTCAATGAGACTATAAATAAGTGACTATTTAGCTAATTGAAACACAGTGCCATAGGATCTGGGGGTGGCTACTAGTGAAAGGGAGGATGGCATGAATAACTTCTGGGGGTTTACTGTGCTTTGAAACCTCTGTAAGGCTGCCTAAGTTCCATTTTGCAAATAAGCATTTGCCTGCTTTTCAAGACACAAAAATGTACAAAGGGTAAAGCACTTTTGAAATTAAAACCTTCTCCCTGCATTCCACATTCACCTACTGTGTTCTAATACCAACGGCTATTCAGCTGGGAGCCCCAGGCTGCCACTTTTCTTCCTTCTCTCCCTTTGGCACTTCACTGCATTTGGAATGGAGAGGTCTGAACTGAAATGTATTTTTGCTGATATTTCTTCCCACAACTGCTGGTACTTTATTTTAAAAAAAGTTATTTCCACAAACAGTCTTCTCCATGTTGGATAAGCCGGTTTTCACCGCATCTCTTGATTACAGATGAAGAAACTGATAGTTGGAGAGGTAAAGTAGCTGCACATGATTAGCTCTCCTCCTGATCTCTAAGGTGTGTGTGTGTATGGGGGGGGAGGGACAATTGGTAGAGAATAACTTCATAAAGGAACAGCAAATCTAGAGCAGTAGACTAATAGGAAAGGTGGTCCAAAAAGGAGGGCTTACAGAGATTCCAGAAGATGGTACATGCTAAAAACAGAGAACATTTAATTCAAAGGAATAGAAATGTAAAGACAATTGAAAAGCCCTAGAATGTAAATTAAAACTCAAAATAACCCACTAATGTTTCTCAGATATGTATATATGTACATTATTTTTCTTCAAAGGACTACAACTTTATTTGGTAGTATTAAATAGAAGTAAAAGAGCTAAAATTAGGACAGGCCTTCACATACCCATATTTTCCTTTGATAAGGCATCATCGGTACAAACATTTTCAAAACAGCATTTTAAAATAGCTTTCCTAGAAAAAAATGTGACATAGTTAGTTTCAAATAATCTCTCATGTATATTTAAATGACCATTCATATATATGCATTGGTAATCATAAATTATGAATATATATTTACTTTAAAGTACTCTTCCTTGTTTTATACTGTAAGGCAGAATGATACAGTGAAAAACCAAAGGGAAATAGTATTGATTTGGGTTCTCTCTAGGTGAAAAGCACTAATAATCTACCAAGCACCTTACATAGGCTTTTTCATGTAATCCTTCCCCCAGAAACTTACTAAGTAATTGTCAGTCCCATTGTGTAAAGAAACCGAGGCTCTGAGAAGTTGAGCAACTTGACAACATAGGTAAGTGGTTGAGCATGACGCACTAAATTCTGTCTGACTGCAAAATCCATGCTATTCCACTACATGGTGTTGCTGATTAAGAGTCAGAAAACATTTGTCCAAACACATTTTCTCTAACCATAAGATCTTTAAAAAGCCACTTAGCTTCTCTAAGCCACAAGTTCTACACCTTTTAAATGGAGATGACTGTGGTACTCTCCCTACCTATTTTGATGGGGTTACTGGGAAATATAAATGAGATAAGGCATTTTTAAAGTAATTTTTAAAACTTTAATTATTCATCTTCTGAAAAAAGACTATCAGAGTTAGTCTTTGAGTAGGACTCACTTTAACACAGTACTGATTACCATTCATTAAAAATAAATAAATAAACAATGGCTGGTTCAATGATAAACACTAAAATTTGTCATCAGTGCTTATTAGTTCACTAGAGGCCCGGTGCACGAAATTCGTGCACGGGGGAGGGGGATCCCTCAGCCCGGCCTGCACCCTCTCCAATCCAGGACCCCTCGGGGGATGTCCAACTGTGGGTTTAGGCCCGATCCCACAGGGACTGCTGGCTCTTAACTGCTCGCCTGCCCCATTGCCTGATGGCCCCTAACCCCTCTGCCTGCCTGATGGCCCCTAACCACCTCTGCCTGCCAGATTGCCCCTAACTGCCTCTGCCTCAACCCTGCACCCAGAACCCGGGCTTCCCTCCCTCTGGCCAGCTGCAGGCACCCGGAACCTGGGGCGGCTTGGCCCAGGCTGGCCACAGGCGCTCAGAACTGGGGGCGGGCAGCGTTGCCCAGGCCGCAGCTGCCGGCGCCCGGGACCACAGGTGGGCGGCTTCTCCTGGGCCCAGCTTTGTCAGGAAGGACATCCGAAAGACGTCCAGTCTAATTAGCATATTACCCTTTTATTAGTCTAGATTATAAAGACCTGTTTCTGGTTCCCATGACCTATTTTAAACTGAAAACCTGCTTCTCATCTAGTTGCTCACATGATATTAAAAGTCCTGGTTCAACATTTTTTTATAAACACCAAACTTTCTCCATACTTCTAAGACTACTACTTATCATTTTATTAATTCTTTTAGAAAATTTTAAACCCAATTGTCTCCCTAGAGAAACAGAATCAAGAGCCAGGGGGAAATGCCATATAATAAGTAAACCCAATATATATTTCAATTTTATTATAATACTTTTTAATTAAAAAGAAAACATACCTCTTCCTTTTTCTGAATTTGGGCTTTTTTGTTTCAGTATTATTTTTGGAAACTGGCAACTGTAAATAACAACAGAAAAGATGAGACAATTCATATGGGACTGGATGAGCTCAGTAAAATAGTGGATCCTATATGGGCCCAGTAATTTAGCCCATAGCCCTGAACAACACCCTAGGTCATTGGTCAGCAATCTCATTAATCAACAGAGCCAAATATCAACAGTACAACGATTGAAATTTCTTTTGAGAGCCAAATTTTTTAAACTTAAACTATATAGGTAGGTACATTGTCATTAACTTAATTAGGGTACTCCTAAGGCTTAGGAAGAGCCACAACAAGGGGCCAAAGAGCCGCATGTGGCTCGTGAGCCATAGTTTGCCAACCACGGCCCTAGGTCAACTCTATGTCAATCAACTTCACAGTCCCTGCAATTGCACTGATCTGCTCAACTTCCAGGAATGGTAGGCTGATTCACAGATGAATATTATCCCCTGCATCCAGGTTCGTCACCTTCACATACACATAAAAATACTAAGTAAAACAACTTTTTAAGTCTTAATACATATATGACCATTAAAGAAAGGAAAATAAATATGTATGTGCCAGAAACATGAGGAATGCAACACCATATAGGTGGGAACTGGCATGGTGAAGGCCACAAGGAATTTGTACCAGGATAGGGCACAAAGGACTTGGGACTGGGGCTTTAATGATTCAGCAAAGATACAATGAAGAATGTGGAGAAATTAGAACCTTCATACATCGCTGAGAATGTGAAATGGTGGAGCCACTTTGGAATACAGTTTGACAGTTCTTCAAATGCGAAGTGTAGAGTTACCCTATGATCTAGCAATTCCACTGCTAGTTATATACCCAAGAGAAATAAAAACATGTCCACACAGAAATTGTACATGAACATTCATAACATCATGATTGATAATAGCCAGAAAGTAGGAACAACCCAAATGTCCATCAGTAGATAGATAATATGTGGTATAGTCATACAATAGAATATTATTCAGTCTTTAAAAATAATGAAGTAAAGACACATAATACAATATGGATGAATCTTGAAAACATTATGCTAAGTGAAAGGTCAGAAATGTCAGAAACAAAAGGCCACGTGTCTGATTCCATTTGTCAGACACATCCAGAAAAGGCATATCCATAAAGACAGAAGTAGATTAGTAGTTCCCAGGGACTTTGGAGAGGAGAGAAATGGGCAGTGACTGCTAATGAGTATGTGGTTTCCTTCTGGGGTAATGAAAACATGTTCTAAAATTAGGTAGTGGTATTGTTTTACCCAACTGTATCTATACTAAAATTCAATGAATTGTAAGAGTGAATAAATTATATCTCAACAAAGGTATAATTATAAAAAAATTAGTGACAGAAAAATTGAAAGGAGATAGAATATACTATATCAATAACTATTAACAAAAGGAACCCAATGTAGCAATATTGCTGTTAGAAAAAAGCAGGTGTTAAGGCAAAAACCATAATCAGGGATAAAAGGGTTATTAGTCAATGCTAAAAAAATCCACCCAGAAAGTACAATAGTCCTGAACCTGTATGTACCTAAAATCTTAGCCTTAAGATATAAAAAGCAAAACAAAAGTAGAAACTGATGAATCTACAGTTAAAATAAGATCTTTTAATTTACTTCTCATAAAAATTATAAAGCAAACACAAATTAGTGAAGAAATAGGAGAATTCAACAAAACAAATAATAAATTTAATAAACACATATCAAACCTGGCACTGATTAATTATAGAATATATATTGTTTTCAAGCCTAAGAAATTTGCAAATTTGATCACCTATTGAGTCACAAAGGAAGTCTCAAAAATATTAAAATAATTTCTATCTTATAGACCATATTCACTGACTAAAATGCAATAAAATAAGAAAGGAAATAAGAAATCAAAACCCAAAATATAGCTGAATAAATTTATAATCAAATTATAGATATAGAAGAACTCACATTTTCCCATGGACCTTCCTATGATAAAAGTTATGATCTATGTCAGGATATGGTCTCATATTTTAATTATTTGTATTCAAGACTTATCTTCTCTCTACGGCAGTGATGGCGAACCTTTTGAGCTCAGCGTGTCAGCATTTTGAAAAACTCTAACTTAACTCTGGTGCCGTGTCACATATAGAAATTTTTTGGTATTTGCAACCATAGTAAAACAAAGACTTATATTTTTGATATTTATTTTAGATATTTAAATGCCATTTAACAAAGAAAAATCAACCAAAAAAATGAGTTCACGTGTCACCTCTGACACGCGTGTCATAGGTTCGTGCTCTAGGGTAATGCACTTTGTCTCCATGTCACATCTTGCATACTGTAGGTGCACATGAAGTGCATGTGGAATAAATTAATGAATAATTGTTGGGAGAAAGATAGGATAAAGACATATCAGCATAGAGAAGAAATGGAGTCGATGTTACTGTCCATTCTCTACTGCCATTGTTGGTGACTTGGGCATTTAAACAATTCATTCCATTTATCCTCAGCTTCTAAGACAGCTCAGTGCAACTTTCACCTCAATATATTCGTTGGTTCCTTTTATTTGTCTTTTCACTTTAACTTACTAAAGTGATACTTTCTTAGCCTGCTTTGTTGAATTCTTTCAGTTTTACTGATCTTTTAATGTTGAATCAAGTATTTGAACTACAAAGATAGGAATAACTTTTTTAAAATTTACTATATGTTTAGCAGTTAGCAGAGTGACATTCACATTATACATTCAAAAGCATTAACTATGAAATGAAGACTGAATTTGATAATTCCTCAAGGTATTATTAAACAACTTAAATAACTTAATAATTACTCAAGGGAAGTTTGTATGAAATACTCATGTGGCTGAAAACTAAGTAATTATTCTTTTTGTGATCTTCAATCTCAAGGAGTAATTCAATTTTTTTTCATTTTTTCCCAGGACTGGAAATATAAATATAAATATTACACACACACGCGCACACACACACACACACACACACACACACACACACACACTGAGTGGCCAGATTATTATGACCACCTGATGTTTGTAGGCAAATTAGCAATAATTTTACGCTGAAGTTGCTAGAGGGCCAGACCATTATAAATAGGGAAGCAGGTTGTTTACCACGACAGTAGAAGTGATTTTTTTCTGAAGATATGGGTAAACATCGCGATTTAACAGCCTTTGAACGTGGGATATATTTGAACGTGAGATATATTTGAACGTGAGTGGCCAGATTATTATGACCACCTGACGTAGGTAGGCAAATTAGCCGTACACTGCATCATATGGGATATGGAAGCCCAAGGACTGTTCGAATACCTTTGCTGTCTGCAGTTACCAAGATAAAACGTCTCCAATTTGCACAGGAACACAAGGATTGGACAGTCGAGCATTGGAAAAAAGTCATGTGGTCCAATGAATCACATTTCCAGCTGCATCATGCAGATGGCAAAGTGAGAATTTGGCAGAAACAGCATGAAAGCATGCACCCCACATGCATGAGTACAACCCTTCAAGTTGGTGGGGACAGTGTTATAGTTTGGGGCATGTTTTCCTGGCATGATTTGGGCCCTTTAATTCGTGTGGAACAACGTCTGAATAGCACAACATACCTAAGTATCGTTGCTGATCAAGTTCATCTTATCATGTTGATGGTGTATCCCAATGGAGATGGCTTCTTCCAAGACAATGCGCCATGCCACGGTGCTCGTATTGTGCAGGAGTGGTTTCAAGAACATCAGGGAGACTTTACCTTGCTTAGGTGGCCCCCACAATCACTAGATCTCAATCCAATTGAGCATTTGTGGGACAAAGTTAAAAGAGCCATCAGGCAGCTGGTTCCACAACCATCAAATTTCACAAAACTGGACAGTGCTATTCATCAGGCATGGTGTCAGATTCCTCACATCACCTTTCAACATCTCATGAAGTCAATGCCAAGAA